AAGTGAGAAGATAGAAAATATTAATATTTAATTTATATATATATATATTTATGAATAATTAAAAAATAAAATAAATTAAAAATAAATATTCGTTGATTTTGAAGATCAATGGTTAGTTATATATATATATTTTAAATTGATTTGGTTTTAATTATACTCTTGATTTTTGATTGGCAACTCTATTCTATTGTTAGACTTATATTGTTACATTTCTAGTATACTCCTGGTTCCATTGGTTAACTTATAATTAACATAAATTTTAATTATAACCTTCAACTTTTTGCAATTGTTAAAGTTCGGTTATTATTTATTATTATAAATATTATTATTATTATCATTATTATTAATATTATAATTATTTATTATAATTAGTATCATTATTATTTATTATGATTCTTATTATTTTTCTAATATTTATTATTATTATTATTATCATTATTTATTATTTTTTAATAAATTATACCTATTAATATAATTTTATTGTAATTATTATTATTTACAATAAATAATATTTACTCATTTTTAATTCAAGAGTAAAAGTGTAAATTACATATTCATCTATTAAATTTTTAATTTTTATCTATCACATCAATCAATTTCTACACAAATTCTCACAAATTTTTCACTTACTTTCCGCTATCTTTCCCTTAATCCAAACAACCTCACTTTCCACTCTCTTTCTCTTCAAATCTTTCTTTTTCCACTCTCCCAAATCCATCCTTCAATCCAAACACAACCTTAAGGTGAGTGAACCAGTTAACATGTGTCAGCTTATTCTTTTTATAGTTTTTAAATTTAATTTTCCCTTTTTATTATAAGTTTTCTTATTTTTTTTTTTATTTTCTTACTTATTTTGACTTTGTTATTATGAATTAGTATGTTATTAGATTTTTGTATTTATATTTTCCTATTTTCTATATATTTTTAATTAAGTGAACTAAATGATGAGTTAACAGTCATGACAAACTGAGTTTGTAATTTTTAATTCACCAAAAAAGTAAGACAAATTAAATTAATTTATTTCATTAATCATGATATTAATACAAATTAATTATTATAAAAAATAATAACTAATTTTTATTGCGTGAATCGTAAGGACACATAATATATATA